GTTTCGTAGGCGTAAAGGAGGGTCAGGAGAAGAATGGCTTTGTAAACCTTCAGTTTCGCTGCATATTACACAGTTAACTGGGTAATAATCACACGAGGCATTGAAGCCGGCCACATGTGCGGTCATTATCGCGTGGTAAAAATTAGGCCAGCAGCCATAAAGTTAGTGCTGAAACTTGCTGCTCTCCAGCTTTATTTTGAATGTGTGGCGCGGCTCTAAGACGTTCGTCCTCAGGTCTCTGAATGTAGGAAGCCAAGTGCAGCAAGTGAGGCTCATCATAGGAGAGGGGCTGAGAGAAATGCTCAGGTGTAGCAGACAGGAGTTAGCAAAAGAAAAGAAGCTGAATACTAGGAGATCAGGAGTCCCCTGTGGTTCGGTGGGAGAATCCTTCCCTACCATACAGAAGACCTGGATTTGATTCACAGACACTTATATAACTACAGCCATGGAGGCACCAAACATCTGGACTCAGTCTGGTCTTTGGAGTCTGTCTCAGTGGCCTAAAGGGCAGATGGAAGATCTTGGCAGCCTCCACTCCTCCAAAAATTCCTGTCCAGGCATATACATCAAAGGTCTGGGTGGCCCTCATATGTGCACCATGATCCGGGAGGATTGACGGTCGCCACTGTGAGATCAGGGCCTATGAAGGGAGGGAATGGTAGGGTCAGTCTCACCTTCCTTGTATAGAAAGTATTCAGGAGTTGGATAAATTACAATGGGCCATACATCCAAGATCAGTGTTTAGTCCTTGGTTCTTAGTGTCCAGCCAGTTTATGAAGTTTTGTTCCCAAGTTCGCCTTTTAAAGGTTTTAGGTAGATTGCCTTTGAGTACAAGGACGGTGAGGTCAGAAATGGAGTGGTTCTGCAAGAAATGTGCTCCTGAGTGAGTGTATGTCTCCGTCCTTCGTATGTTTTTCTGTGAGAGTTCATTCTCTTGCACAGCTGCTGTTTAGTTTCACGGGTGTGCAAACGTAATTCACTGGATAAACCCAGATTTAAAAAAGCAATCCATTCAAGGGGTGCCTTGAATCCATAAAGGCTTGAGAACCACTGACCTAAACTAGTCCCCCACAAGCACCAGCTGGTACGGGAGGATTCAAAACCCTCTTGTGACAGATGGGGGCATAATTTGCTCCTACATTAGGTCTTATCCCAGTTTCTAATACTAAAAGATGAGTTTAAACCTGGAGCATGGAGGTTGATTCCCCTGCATCCTTTTGTTGTCTTTAAAATCCAAGGGTATCAAAATCACTATACAGACTACTGAAAACCATTCCTGGCCTCTCATGAGTGATTGCACTCACCTAAATCAGAGTTGCAGAATCAAACATGAATTGTTTTAAGTTTCCATAATTTATTAAGTACATTCCTCTACACATTTTTCACATAAAACATTCATGACAAATATATCCCTCATGTTATGTGCAGTACCCCCAAACACCCTTCTTCAGGCATAGGGAGAGTCTGCTGTTGTTTTGTGTTCTCCTGGATGGAACAGAAGCCAATATGCAACCAGGTCTGTGAAAATGCAAATGTGTGGCAATGAGGATCGGAAGCCATGGGAGACAATAGGTGTGAGACAGGTAGGCGGGGGTGGGCGGGGGAAATCATGGACTAAAACATTGGATTTATAGCACATTATAAACCGCCTGCTCTCTGATAACCCCAGGTAACCGCTCTGCACTTTACTAGCTACTTTCTATCACCAAGTCAACATCCTCCTCTTCCCACACACACCCACCTGTCTCAGACCTATTGTCTCCTATGCCTCCGATCCTCACTGCCATGCATTTGCATTCTCACAGACCGTCATTTCGCGTATTGGCTTCTCTTCCATCCAGGAGAACACAAAACAGCAGCAGATTCTCCCTATGCCCAAAGAAAGGTGCTTGTGCCCAAAAGCTTGCAAAGAACAATTTTTCCAACTGTTTAGTCGGTCTAATAAAAGATATCACATTTATCCAAAGAACTTTGTCTGCCTATTTATTATTTATATACTCACTGCCCAAAAGTGTGCTAGGCATACACAGACAGATTGAAAGAAAATAAAAAAGACATGAAACCCAAGACCCAAGTCATAAGCTCCATTCCTACAAGTACTTACTAGTATATACCATACTTTGCATACAGGGAAAACCCTAAGAATAAGGATATGTAGAAATATTTACAGTATCTGTCCCTTATAGCTCAACAAAATCTCAGCTAGTAATATCAATAATTGGGTAGGGCAAGTGCAAAAGAGACAACGCTTAATAATAATTCCATGTGCTTAAAGCTAGT